AGTTTGGAGCTGAGAGGTAATAAATTGATAACCAGCATGTCATTCTACTTAGAAGCCCTCCCTTCCACCCATCATCTCCTACTGATTTCTTCAAGGCTCATTTCACATTGAACACAACTGGGACACTCTTGCCTGAAGGACTTTGCCTTGCACTTCTTTTACCTGAAGGTTCTCCCCCTACATGCCCAGACTACTTGTCCCCTCACTCCTTGAGGTCTTTATCCAAGTGTTATCTTCTCAGTGGTGGCTTCTCTGGCCATACCAACACTCCCTATTCCCCCTTCTCTGCTTTATTCATCCTACTTAGGATGATCCTACTTACTCATTTCCATATAACATACTATATATTTTACTTATTTATCTTGCTTATTTTCACTCTCCCTTTAGAAAATGAACCCCAAGAGAACAGATTCTGTCTGTTTTGTTCACTGGTGCATCCCTAACACTTAGGACAATGTCTGACTCAGAGTAGGCACCTGATAAATATTTGTGTCAGTAATAAATACATGAATGAATGAAGGGTCTTTAAAACACTTAGATGTTCTTTGGGTCCACTTTAAGGATGATGAAAGAAATATGTCCATGAAAAGACTTGTATAAAAATGTTTATAGCTTTATTCCTAATAGCCCAAAACTGTGAAACCATCCATCTGTCCATTAAGAGGAGAATTGGTGTATATTCTTACAATGAAAATACACTCATCAGAAAAGGAATGAACTACCGATACATGCAACAACATGGATAATTCTCAAGAACATGCTGAGCAAATGAGGTCCGTTAACAAAATGTACATACTTATGATTCCATTTATAAGAAGTTTCATAACAGGAAAAACTAATCTATGATGATAGAAATCAGATTAGTAGTTGCCTACAGAGGGGAGAAGAGAGTACAAGGGTACTTTCTGGGGTGATAAAAATGATCTATGTCTTGACTAGGGTGGGACTTACACAGCAGTAAACACTTACCAAAACTCATCAAACTACACACTTAAGATGATTGCATCTTACTGTATGTAAATTTTACCTCGATGAAAACCCCAGTAATAATTTGGATACAAAATTAATGTAAATATTCACAAAACAATCTGTGAACCCGATTTGATGATAATGTGTTAATTAAACCAGGTCAAAGACTCATGACTTTCTCATTTATTAAAAGACTGATGTAAAAAACATGTTTTGACCATACGGGAGGCAAGATTTGAATTGATTCCGCAGAAGTCAAGTCACAAAAGAGAAGTCCCTGCTGAGGGCCCAGGAAAAACTCATTTGTAGCTGAATAGGGATGCTGGACATGTAATTAAGCCCCCATAATCATTTGAAGTTAAGAGGTCTATAGTTCCACTTTCCTTTCCCAGTGTGGCTCTTTAATCCTATTATTTCTGATGATGGCTACTGCTGTTCAAGGCTGGGTACTGGTTTAATTTTAGCAAGAGTTACGGTTATAAGGCTTGTACATTATTGAATGTGCTCCCTAGGGAGATGATAGAGTTTGCTTCCATTACTTTTAAATAAAATGCTCTATGGTCTGGATGAGCACTGTTACAAGGTGACTATGGAGTCCCTGCATAGCGCAAATGATTAAGCACTCCTCTACTAACTGAAAGGTTGACGGTTCGAATCCACCTAGAGACATCTGGGAAGATAGGTCAGGCGATCTGCTTCCAAAAAGTCACAGCCACAGCCTTGAAACCCTATGAAGCACAGTTCTACTCTGACACGCATGGGGTCATCACGAGTCAGCATTGACCAAATGGAGCTAACAACAACAACGTGCATGATTACAGTTAAGGCCTGTCTGTGCAGAGTATGGAATTGAAAGTTCAATTCTCCTTTAAATTCCTATGATTTTACCACTTATGCTATTTGTTCTCAATTCTGTTTTGACGTTTCGAAAATGACACTCTTTCATTTCTTGAAATTATTGCTAAGGTTAAGCTGTGTTTTAGAAACTGATAGAAAAACTTTCACCAACTGTAATAAGTCCTTATCTTTCATAGTCTCTCTCCATCAGCTTCAACAAGCCCAAACTTTAACCCATACTTCCCATGAGAATTGTGGCTCATTGTTCCTCTCTCTTTTTAAAAGGTATTGGTATGTACTTGAATGATGTGATCAATCACTACACAATGGACACATCAGGCAGTTCCAGGAAGAAATACAAAAACAAAGAGAAAAAGAGAAACCAGACTACACTGGCCTAATGGTACTAACGTGGGCAGAGTCAGAATGAAGCCAGCATTTTCCCATTTCAGCTGGTAGAAATCATTGGAAAAATTGCATTGATTAAGGGTATTGCACAGCTGATTATTGTCATTGCTGCCAATAAGTTGTACAACGGTAAACAGTTGAATTGGCAAAGGTGTGATATATTTACAACTACCAAAAAAAAGAGTAGCTGCTGAGGCTGCTTATGTACAACCAAACACCTCATGGGATTTGGTTCTTTGGTTTGGAAGTTTCGGGTCATGGTTTCATGGGACATCCCAGTTAATTGACCTAATAATGCGTTTAGTGCTTCTGTTCTACCTCCTAGTTCATTGCATAGTGCCTGGGGTCTTAAAAGCTTACAGGTGGCCATCTGAGGCACAACAATTGGTTGCTGGCTAACCTGGAACAACAGAGGAAGATAGAGAGTCAGGAATAGGAGGAAGCTATGAAATGCATGGCTGATTGCCTCCATGAACAACTGCCTCCTTTGCCGTGAGACCAGAAGCACTGGATGGTGCTTCGCTATGGCTACCATTACCGAACATTTTGATCAAAGATTCCGTAGAAGAATCCTGATCAAAAGCGGAAAATGCAAAACAGAATTTCAAATTCTCATGGACTTTAGACTTTCCAGAGTCATGAAAGTTGGATGAGCCCCTGAATCTATTGCCCTAAGATAATCTTTAAGCCTTAAACCAAAAATATTCCCTGAAGTCATCTTAAAACTGAACAATAGTTTAGCTTTACTAGTAAAGAAAAAAAGGCCTGCTTTGGAGGGGACAGGAAAGCTGGACAAATGGAAATGGGGAACCTAAGGATGAGAAGGGGAGAGTGTGGACATGTTGCGGGGTTGGCAACCAATGTTACAAAACAATATGTGTATTAATTGTTTAATGAGAAACTAATTTGCTCTGTAAGCCTTCATCTAAAGCACGCATGCACGCGCACACACACACACACACACACACACACACACACACACACACACACACACACACACACACACACACACACACACACACACAGAAAGGCCTGTCTTGAACATTATGGTCTTTTAAGAACTATCTATATGGAATCAAATTGACAACAGCAACTCGAATGATTAGATAGGAACCTAAGGGGGCAGTGAGTTTATGTTAATGAGGGAGGAACAACTCAAAGGAGGGTGAGAATGGTTGTACAACTCGAAGAATATAATCAAAGTCACTAAATTGTACATGTAGAAACTGTTGAATTAGTGTATGTTTTGCTGTGTATATTCTCAACAACAAGAAAATAAATAAAATTTGGAAAAAAAAAAAAAATTATCCCTGGCCTTGAGCATGTTGCTAAAACAGAAATATCACCAAAGAAAGAGAAAATGAAGATGACCCCTAAGTAATTTAAGATGAAGAAAACAGATCTGTAAAAAATACGTTCTTGTTAGTACCACATTTTTAGCATAAGGACAATGATAATTTCAGAATGTAGGCTTCCATAAACCTTTCTTTTCAAACATGAAAAAAAGATTAATTAGATACAGGCTTGGTTGTCACTGAGCCTATAGCTATGCCAGTGTATAAGTCCTACACTAAAAAGTTTGTTTTCATTTAAAACTATATTTCCCAAGTTTGGTGGACCATGGATCTTTTTATTTTTTTAACTGTCATCTTTTAATATCCTAATAAATTAGTGTTGCACTGAACTCTCGTTGGAAATGTCTAGACTGCAGAACATGACTTGGTTAATAATTATGACAAAATCAGTTACTAAACACTTGTTTGACTGATGTGATCTTTTGGAAGTAGATTGCCAGGACTTTCTTTTGAAGCACCTCTGGGTGGATTCAAACTGCCAACCTTTCAGTTAGTAGCTAAGCACTTAACGGATTATGCCACCCAGGGACTCCACATAGCCTATAAAAAGATTTTAAAAGGTTTATGTATAGGACAATAACTTTCCTCTGATACGAATTGGAGTAGTTAATAGTTTTGACATCAGCCAAATAATTCTGACGACATGGCTTAGGGGCTGACCTTAACTTCTAAGTGGTATAGATGCTTTGGGTTACAGCTGGAATATTCTGCTCGAGATGCTAAACTCTGGAGTTTTTTCTCTTCCTGAGCCAATTGGATTCGGCTTGTTCTAAAACCAGTATCCCTGACCCTGCTTTGGCATTTCACCAATGGACTATGGAAATGACTGGGTGAGACTGTGCAGACAAGCATAAGGATGATCTAAATCTATCTCACTGCTGAAAAATCTCACCACAAACAAACAAAAAACACATGTCCAACTAATGTTGGATAAGTAATGTTATCTTTTCCATTATGATAGAATATTTTTAATTTGATGTACACCATGGGCAAAATGTTTGCTTTTAGAATTGCTAACATTTTTAATGCATGTATTCTTCTATTCTAAGTTTAGCAAGAAAAAGCAATTACAATTTGAATGGCATATCTTTGGCCTAAATGGTTTCTTTATTTGGAAATCAATAATTTTGTTTCAGAAGGAAAGTAAATATTTAGCATGTTGATAGTTTGGAATTTTTTTTTCTCACTACCGGAAGTCTTTGTCCCTTTCTTTTCTCTGTCTTCTGAACCACTGAATAATTTTTAAGACAATATTTTGTCTTCCTAATTAGAAATAATTTTTTAAGTTCAGCCTGGGAAATAAACGACCTATGAATCAAATGTAATTGAGAATCCATTGACATCCGCAGTACTACAATTGCTTAAACTGATTTGATGGCAAGTTTATTTGGGGGCATGCTTTTAAAATCCATGCTTATCTTTTTCTTCCAGTTTCAACAAAGCTTATAAGCTCTCTACTTTATGGTCTGGCAGAAAGGAGATACTTCAGACGGAAAGGGCAGAGAGTAGGGGAGGAATTTTAAGAGTGGCAAATTCAACAATGGACTTGGTTCTCACTCAGGCTTCCAGGAGATGCGTGACATGACCAGCAGACCCTGAATGGGTCCTGTCCTCCGGAAGCCAGACTAAAATACTCAAAACTACTTCGTGTACTCTGGTGACCAGAATTCATACAGTCAAGCATGCACCAGCCATCCAAGGTCCTCTGCTGGCATTCTGGATCATGGGTCAATGCCCCAAATCTCCAGTCTCTGGAATGCCCAGGTAAGGAAGGGCAGGGGTTCAGAACCACTGGGTCTGGATGATCCACTGCATGATGAAGCTGCTCAGATGAATCTCACTGGACCTCGCTGGCTCCTAGAAGGAAAGACCCCTTGGAAAGTCAGTTTCATTCCATCCGCTGAGATCCTAGTGTCTGTGGGTGTTGAAGTTTTGAATGAATGATTCAGGGCCCAATTCTAAGCTGTGTGATCTGGGCCAAGTTATTTAACCTTTTCTAAGGGTCAGTTTCCTCATTTATAAAATGCAACTACTAATAATAGTTATAGCGTTGTGGTGAGAATTCAATGCATGTAAAATTCCAAGCACAGTGCCTCTTAAAGGCTAAACACATGGAGTTACTGTAAATATATATATAAATTAATTTGGAAGAACTCAGATTTTTACATATATTTCCAAAAGGAATTTACTTTTTCTGGGGCAAGAATGTCCTGGTATACCTGAAATAAAACAGAGTGGATAGCAGATTTCCTTTAGCCATAAACCTAATACCATAAATAGATGATGTTAGTGGACTCGGCTCACAGCAGCCTCAAAGTGTCCTTGGCAGCCCTGGAGGGGTTCCTTGGAACTTTGTTAAAAACCGCTAGACTAGACCTGCCCCCTTATCACCTATCTGCCCCTACTCCTGGGTGACCGAGGAAGCCAAATTGGTCAATATTATTCAAGATTGTACTTATTTATTTACTCTCACTCTAACATAGAAAAAAAAGTTGAAACTACTGAAAACTCAGATATGATAAAACCTCAAACATCATGTAATTTAAAAGAAAAGGGGGGGAACCAATTATACTGTTATCATTAGGTGCCATCGAGTCAATTTTGACTCATTGCAACCTCATGTGACAGAGTAGGACTGCCCCATAGGTTTACGAGGCAGTAACCTTTACAGGAACAGATCTCCAGGTCTTTCTATTGTTGTTGTTGTTAGGTGCTGTGGAGTCAGTTCTGAGTCATAGCGACCCGATGTACAACAGAATGAAACAAACACTTCCCATTCCTGCATCGTCCTCACAATTATTGCTGTGTTTGAGCCCATTGTTGCAGCACTGTGTCAATCCATCTCCTTGAGAGTCTCTTTTTCACTGACCCTCTACCAAGTATGATGTCCTTCTCCAGGGACTGGTCCCTCCTGATCACACATCCAAAGTACGTGAGACAGTGTCTCGCCATCCCCTCTTCTAAGGAGCATTCTGGTTGTGCTTCTTCCAAGGCAGATTTGTTCATTCTTCTGGCAGTCCATGGTATATTCAATATCCTTCACCAACACCATAATTCAAAGGCATCGATTCTTCTTTGGTCTTCCTTATTCATTGTCTAGCTTTCACATGAATATGAGGCAATCGAAAATACCATTGCTTGGGTCAGGTGCACCTTAGTCCTCAAAGTGACATCTTTGCTTTTTAACACTTGAAAGAGGTCTTTTGCTGCAGATTTGCCCAATGCACTACATCATTTGATTTCTTCACTGCTGCTTTCCTGGGTGTTGATTATGGATCCAAGTAAAATGAAATCCTGGACAACTTCAATATTTTCTCCATTTATCGTAATGTTGCTTACTGGTCCAGTTGTAAGGATTTTTGTTTTCTTTATGTTTAGGTGTAATTCATACTGAAGGCATAGTCTTTGATCTTTATCAGTAAGTGCTTCAAGTCCTCTTCATTTTCAGCAAGCAAAGTTGGGTCACCTGCATATTGCAGGTTGTTAATGCATTGGCTTATTCATCGAAAATACCTTATCCATAACATAAACGACGACTATATGCATGGACCTTGGCAGATGGAATACACAGGAATCAAATTGACTACATCTGTGGAAAGAGACAATGGAGAAGTTCAGTATCACAGTTAGAACAAAGCTAGGGGCCGACTGTAGAACAGATAATTGATTGCTCATATGCAAGTTCAAGTTGAAGCTGAAGAAAATTAAAACAAGTCCACGAGAGCCAAAATACAACCTTGAGTATATCCCACCTGAATTTAGAGACCGTCACAAGAATAGACTTGATGCACTGAACACCAATGACCAAAGACCACACAAGCTGTGGGATGACATCAAGAAGAAAGCAAAAGGTCATTAAAAAGACAGGAAAGAAAGAAAAGACCAAAACGAATGTCAGAAGAGACTCTGAAACTTGCTCTTGAACGTTGAGTAGTTAAGCAAATGGAAGAAATGATGAAGTAAAAGAGCTGAACAGAAAATTTCAAAGGGGAGCTTGAGAAGACAAAGTAAAGTATTATAATTAAATATGCAAAGACCTGTTTGCTACATTTGCAGAAAACCAAAGGGAAAGAACACACTCGGTGTTTCTCAAGATCAAAGAACTGAAGAAGTTCAAGCTTTGAGTTGCAATATTGAAGGATTCTATGGGCAAAAGATTGAATGACTCAGGACTTTCTAGAGAAATGCAAATCAAAACCACAATGAGATGCCACTTTACACCGATGGGTGAGTTATAAACCTTCAACCTTTCAGTTAGCAGGTGAGTGCTTAATCGTTGTGCCACCTGGGTTCCCTAATAATTATACCTGAAGATTTAAACTAAGAAAAAATGTTATGATCTTCCAAAAAAAAAGAAAAGAAAGTCTCTGAGCTTTCTAATAGCCAATGCAAAGTGGGAAAAACTGGAGATTTTTTAGTTTCCATTCTCTGCTTAACAGACATTGACCAAATCGTCAAGAGGAAACAAACATTTTCATGGCTCCATACACTCAGATTCATTTACTGGGTAAATCTCTAAATAAGAAATATTGAGCAACCTGTGTACGGTCCTCAATATGAAATCTGAAGGCTTTTTGAAATGTATTTTATATTGTACATGTGGCTCTTTTTTTCCTACTCAAGCTTTATTTAAAGGAAAAGTTGTAGTAAGTTGTAATTCTCTAAACTAGTGTTTTGGAGAGGTGGCCCAGGTCCAGATGCAGGTAATCAGAGAAAGAAAGGCTGGAGTTCAAGATCTTGTAGGAGATGAAGCTGTTCAAGATGAAGGTAATTAAAATAGAGGGCGATAAAGAATTGTGAAGCCAGGGGATTGGAAAGGCCATCAATTTTGATTTTGAAATATTTTATCAGTTTGTAAGCCAGATGCTAAAATCATCTAGTCTCAGAGGCTAAAGGATTTTCCAGGTAGTCTGCAGATGGCAGCAATAAGAATGGAGAAGCGGGGAGGGTAAGAGAGAAGGTGAACTAAAGAAATATATTGACTGCTTCCTACATGCCAGGCCCTCTGCCAGATGCTCTTCAAACAGTAAATCATTCATCTTCACAACCACCCAACATGATCTTAGCATCTCTGAGTGGTGGAGGCCAGTGTCAAACACAGCTGTGCTTTAAATTGTGCCCTCTCATCCCCTTCATGAAAGACCATGGAATTGACCCCTATAGGCTTCACAAGAGGAAAGCCTTGAGAGATAGTGGTAGAGCTAGAAAGAACATGGACAAGGACTATGCCAACCCTATATCCTACGAGTTTCAGATACACAAATAAAGTGCCGTCTCTACAATGAGAGTTTGACAGGGAAAGGCAGATTTGGTTCTGGTGTAGAGACCAAAGAAGAGTTTGAAAAAAGGGTTGAAGATGAAACGAAGGGCAAGTAAAGACAATGGGAAAGGGAGACGAGGCAGAGGGATGGGGTTGGAAGTAGAGGAGAGGACCTGCCATTGGAGGTCCATTAGCGATCCCTTCAGCAAAGCAGCTGGTGTTGGGTTACCTGCCAACCAGCGCTTCGAACCAGTTCATTCCATTCAAACTCCTGCTGAGAATTTGCATTTCTAACAGGCTCCCAGGAAGTCATATATAAGAAGCTCCTGGGAATCTTGTTAAAATGTAGGTTCTGATTCAGTATATCTGGGGTGGAAATGCAAATTCTCAAAAGGAAACTTGCTAGAAATGCAAATTCTCAGCAAGGGGTTGACCCAGACCAAACCAGTTAGCCCTGCTGCTAACATTCCCTCCTCTCCATTTAGCGACTCCCTCAGGCACCTGTTCACTTTAAAAATTCCTTTCAGTTGCCCAATCTATACACTTCAACCAGATTATAGTCAGTTTTTAAAAATGGGGGAGGGGGAGAATTGAGGGCAGGGACAGCATATGATTCACCCAGTCCTCATGTCAATCTAGACATGAACTGGGAACAAAGCTCCCTCATTCATGAATTTATACTCAGAATTCTATGAAAACAACTTCATTTCCTATGTTGTTAAATATTTAATTGATATTCAGTTTTGTGCATTTACACACAGAAAAAAACAATCTTTGATGGTTGTGAGAGAGGGGAGGGGTGGGGAGGGGAAATCACTAACTAGATAGTAGACAAGTGTAAACTTTTGTGAAGGGAAAGACAACACACAGTATAGGGGAAGTTGGCACAACCTGACAAAGGCAAAGTCATAGAAGCTTCCTGGATATATCCAAACACCTTGAGGAATTGAGTTACTGGAGCTGAGGGCTGGGGACCATGGTTTCAGGGGACATCTAGGCCCATTGGTATAACATAATTCATAAAGAACATGTTCTACATACTACTTTGGTGAGTAGTGTCTGGGGTCTTAAAAGCTTCTGAGTGGCTATCTAAGATACATCTATTGGTCCCATCCGTCCAGAGCAAAGGAGAATGAAGAAAATCAAAGACACAAGGAAATATTAGTCCAAGGACTAATGGACCACATGAACCACAGCCTCCACCAGCCTGATTCCAGAGGAACTAGATGGTGCCTGTTTACCATCACCAACTGCTCTGAGAGGGATCACAACAGAGGGTCCCAGACAGAGAGGGAGTAAAATGTAGAACAAAATTCCAATTCACAAAAAATTACCAGATTTACTGGTCTCACAGAGACTAGAGGAACCCTCAAGACTGTGGCCCCCGGACACCCTGCTAACTCAGAACTAAGCCATTTCCAAAGTCCACCTTTTGGCCTAAGATTAAAACCAAACCAAACTCATTGCTGTTGAGTCAATTCTGACTCATAGTGACCCTATAGGA